CCATGGACGAGGACTGGTCCTATGTTACTATGCATCAATATTACTGCATGCTCACCCATGCTCGTCGTATGATACCGGAGAGTTTGCTGGAGCTACCGGGTTTGCATCAAGCGCAGAGCATGTTGAGAGAGGTCCTTGACTTGAATCATAATCTTTCACTTAATTACATTAACTTGTTCATCAACTTCCCGTATCCGATGCAGCAGACTGCAGTACAGTGGTCGACCACGTATGCACATCAAGCACAACGTTTCGGACATTTCGTTGTTAAATCACAGAACTACCGCCAGGTGAAGACCATGAATCGGACACTCCGACGCCCGCCCCTCGCACGAGATCTCGCTGTCCAACTCGGCATTGCTTCTCCCACATTTCAGCGTCTCTTATTCACGGCTCTTCTGCGATCTCTCTGGCGCGCGGTGGTTCCCAACCCTAGTTTCGCAAGCTTCGAGGCTCAGGCTCTTGCTATTTTTCGTCAGAATCAAGACGACTGCCACCAGCGATCACCTGTCGAGTCGCTTGAGCTCCTGAGAGCCCGCGAGGATCAACTATGGGGCACTAAACTGAGAACGTTAACCGACGCATTCGAAGCTACACTTCAACAGCAAGGTCTTTCATTGGCTGACATCCGCAACGGCGTTCCCCAACAACAGCAACAACAGCAGCAACAGCAACAACAGCAACAACTACCTGTAGCCCCCCAATATCACCCACAACAGATACAAAGCAACTATTCTACTGCAGATACCAATGCAATGCCACCACGTCCGAATAGTTCAGTCGATCCACGCTCAGCACAGGCTGCCATCCAGCAGTCTCGTGGGCGCGGTGGTCTTCCCGCACGGCCTACCCGGCTGGCCGCTGTATCGCCGGCTGCCGTCTTACCATCCAGCCGGCCAGAGCGGCCTTTACTTCCTGCTCTCGACTACCAACAGCCACAGCAGCGAGTACCTAACCCTACACGCTTTGCTTTACATCAAGCCCATCTGCGAAGCCCAGATCTCCAATCACAATCCGAATCCTCGCCGTTGTACATCTTCTTGTCAAGATTCTTGAAGCCTCCAGCTCGGCTATCCGCACCTGCCTGTACCATCGAAAAATGGACTTTCACGCTCTCACCCTCCGATATGCAGAAGATCGCAACAACTGTTCGAGATACAATCGGTGGGCCCGGTGCTATGAACATCAATGAAGGCAACAATTTCGTGCGTCTGCGTTGTGTTGAGTGGCCGCAATCTAGCCCAATGGGTACCCCAACAAGCGACCTTTGGGCAGTGGCTGATACCCATTGGATACCTCACTCTTACTATACTTTCAACGGCACCCCTCTTGATCCGCGGAAAAAAATTCACTATGGAAAAGACCTCCCTATCGATCTCACGGGCCTTTTGAAAGAAGGTGAGAACGTCCTGGAGTTTGTGGTAATGGCTCCATCTGGAGATACATCTCATCTCAATTACTTGACCGCCATCGAGGGGATGGATGTCTCATCTCATGAATCTATCAAGCAGCACTGCCTGAATCAGAGTTGCGTTGCGGCAGATCAAGTATTACAAAGCATCAAGAAGAAACTCGCTGGTGTCGACGATGATGAAATCACCATTGTCCAAAGCACACTCACCATTGGGCTGTTCGACCCTTTCAGCCAAGCCAAAATGTGTGACATTCCAGTCCGTAGTAAAGCATGTCCACACAACGACTGTTTCGATCTAGACACTTTCCTCCAGTCCCGTCCACGCAAGGGCGACGCTTCGGTAGCTGATCACTGGAAATGTCCTATTTGTAAATCCGATGCTCGTCCACAAATGCTTATAGTAGATGGCTTCATTGAGGATGTGCAAAAGCAGCTTGAGCTACAGGGGCTTGCCAGCACGCGGTATATTCTCGTTCAACAGGACGGATCTTGGCAACCCAAGGCTGAAGTGCGCGAGGGTGTGTCGGACGAAACCCCTGAACCCGTCGCTAAACGTTCAGTACTAGCTGACGCTGACGTAATTGACCTTAGTGACTGAGAAATTATTACCAGAATCCATCTGGAGGTTCTTCAGCTTGTTTCTAATTACATACGCACCTACTCGGGTCATAAAAGTCTGGCGTTCAAGCGAGGCATGGAGTTCGTGGAGATTATACCCCTGGTTTTCGACCCTCCTGGGTGTCCCTGTTATCACTGTATTTTTTAGACATCACAGTACTTTGCATATGTGGTGGAATCAGCTGGAGATACAGTCTTAGCTTCTGTATTTATCTCAAAACTTAAGTTCAAAAACATGTAGGTATCTGAAACAAAACCCAAATCCTCATAGTAAGTCTGGCTGATATAGGGATGTTTTGTTTGGTTTCTTGATCAACTCAATGACGGTGCACAGAGAACCTTTGGCTGTACTGGAGCGTTCCGTGGTTCATTTCAGAGACCCCAAATCATAGGTGTTGTTGCACATACACACCGTTCGTGACGGGTGACACACGAATCTTAGTAGCGATGCAAAAAGCCCTCCTTGTACGAGCGAAAATATTTCGCTGTTCGACACAATATCCTCACATCAACCGGAACGTGAATCTCGTTACAGCTTTAGGAGTCGCTTTCGCATGGCCAGGCGAAGATGAATCAAGAAATGGTGGAGGCAAAGTTCTGGGACTTACCAGGCCTCTCACCGACTGACACGGCCACCGGACCGACTTAGATCCCATTGCGATCTCCTGGTTGCAACAGTATGCCCTCCCTAAAGATCACAGTGTACGAACGCGAGGTTGTCTTCCACGTGGATTCATGAGCTCTGCCATGCCTTTACCTTCCTGGACGACTGTCAAATATGCTGCCAGATCGGCCATGGTGATGCCTGGTAGACGCTGGTTCAGAAGATGGAACAGGTCAGCTCCAAAATGATGAGTATGAATATCGACTTGGATCGTTGCTCGTGCCTGTTTGGCGACGAAGAATTTCTCTCGGGAGATTGCAAGGGACAGGAAGCTTGAAGAGATAAACCTTGATGACACATTCGTTGGATGTGCAATGACCAAGTGGCCTGAATTGTTTGGCATGGAAAATATGAAGGGATATTGCGAGTTGAAGTAAGTCCAGTACATCAAGGATCTACCTTTGCTATCTGGGTGCGATGCCTGTCTGGAATTCCATCCTTGCAGCTGCAAAGACAGAGACCACGAACGAATGCATCGTCATAACCAGCCAGTCCATTGAGATGTCCTCTGAAGAAAGCAACAACCGGTAACGCAGCATCGTGACAGCGGCCATGACGACAGAGGATCTCTGTGCTAGGAGACGATGCACAAGAAACCGGATACAAGAGCGCCATTCACGCTACATGACTCACTCGAAGAGATGCCGCATGTCCGGGTGCGCGTGCGCGACGTTTCACACGCAGGGGTCGGATAAGCGGAACCTTGAAGACCCTGAAAACGTTGCGATGCACACCCCAAACTGCGCCACGTGGCGGCAAGAGATCAACAGCCACACTCTAGCATTCGGACCGTGGCCCTTGTGCAACACTGTCACAACCAGGCAGGATTCCCGAGATACCCATTCGACTTTGGACGCGCGTGCTCGCGATAATCGGCAAGACTAAACATAGCCTTGCGTGCGTCGACATGCAGGAAAATATGTTCACGATATCCCGGATTCAGGCAGTCTCCAAACCTGCCTGCTTTGTATCGGCATCATCTGGCATGCCCAACCCTCGTCTCGATCCTCAGACCACCCTGACAGTCTGTGCGCGGCATGCCTTGTATCGCGAGATAGCAACCCCTGTGTAAATCGGAATCCTTCAATCTCTTACCGCCTCACTGTTCGGTTAAACATGTCCCCCATAACGGCTGTCACGTCTCCCAATGGCCCGAATTTCAAATTCTTTCTTCCTTTTCCAGAACATGCCGATTTTATAGCCCAGTTTTAATACTTCAGCCCCATGGGGAATCCTCCTGTTCTTGAAACGCACAATGCCAGTAATAATACTGCTACGAAGAAGGAGAAGAGAAGAAGACGGATCCATCCTATCCGGCGCATCGCAAGGTTGATTCTTGGCAGTGGAAAGCAGCAGAAGAAAGAGGATGTGAGACGACTTGGTGACCAATTAGAGGAAGGAAGGACATGCCATGGCGCATCTAGATGGCACAACCTGTTACCATTTCTCGAGCCGCTGTTTGCCCTGGACCCAAAGTTGTCCTTCATTGAAGACCGCATCCTCGGTCGAACCGCACCAACGACAACGCCTCACGATGACATCAACTTCACTCTCCCGAAAGACCTCGCCTCGCTGAAGAATGCAGTTGAAGAAGCAGACCTCCCTTGTACCTGCGACGAATGCGCCCCCAAACTCTACAAAATCAGCACTCTAGCCTCCCATGGCACGATAGAAGACCGGTGGAACCGACCCTCACAGACACAATCCAAGCACAACCGGTCGTTTTCCTACCAGAATGACAAAAAGACAATCGGTCTCGGACCGCAACTCACACTCAGATTCCATGGCACCTACGAAACAATGACATTAGTACGGCATCACATCGCTTGGCTGGACGCAACGTATCTGCATCCATCCGCACGCCCCACGCCATCTGTACACCACCTCCGCAGCCTGATAGCGACCTGGCATCCGCACATCACGTCACCTGATCTCCGAAGCTCCCTCTCGACAAGTCAACTAAGCGACCTTTTTACGCATCTGAACCGCATTTTCTTCTCGGATCAAGTACCGCCGCATAACAAGACGTTAAGCGCGGGGTTCAGCTATCTGGATGCAAGACAGACCGAGTGTTTTGGCAAGAGTTTTTACAACCCGTTAGTCGGGACACAGGTGCTTTTACATCCGGTGCTGTACCGCGGGTGCTTTCAATACCAGAATCTCGGTCATCACGATAGTCTCGACCCTACCATACAGCGACGGCAACAACAGCAAATATCAACACGTCTGCACAACCGTCTTGGGACTCTCCTCCATGAGATGTGTCACGCGTTTCTCAAAGCATACACGTGTCGTTCTTGCTCGATGCACGATTCTTGTATCGGACCGCTAGGCCATGGACGCGCGTGGCAGATGCTGGCGAAGAAGATTGAGCAGGTTGCTACTGTAGTTTTAGGAGGGACGGTAGACATGGGGAGGTTTCCTAGTCTGCTGAGGGATTGTGAGGGGAGTGGACGGTTGCCTAGTGTGCATGATTTGGAGGTTTTTGGAATGAACGGTGGCGGGTGTGCGAGTGGGGTAGGGTTAGGAATTACAGGGATTAGAGGAGGAGGAGGAGGAGGAGGAGGAGGAGAGAAGATGACGATAAGGACTGTTGAGTAGGGATGACGAGGAAAGATGTGTATCGAGTATTGTATGATTGTGCAGCATTAGATTACGACCTTTTTTTAGACCGCCTGTATAGCTTTAGTAATGATACCCTTCGATTTTGATAACAAGTGTTGCCCACAAGCTGCCATGTCACTTTCTTCAGGGAGAGACAACATGACTACTATCTTCTGTATCCGATATGAATGAGATTGGAGGTTGTCAATCCTGAGACTCTCATAAAGGCGCAGTGTGCTTGGTTGCCTAGGTCATACACATCAAGTGAAGTACTCTGCACGTCGACGCAGTACGTTAAGATGACCTGCGGTAATGACTGCGGTTGAGAAATCTTAGAAGACGATAAGCAAGGGTACGCCGCCCATCTTTGGATTGGTGTGCGAATTTGCTGGCACGAAGAGGAGCTCTAGTGAGAGATGGCGTTATGGTATCGTAGTACTATAGCACTATGAGAAGATGCCCGTTGTCTATCGGTGATAGCAGATCATGCTATCTAATGATGTATAAGACAGGCAGAAACAGCGTACCAGATGTGCTCTCTTTGTATCATTTTCCTACACACACACACACACTGGACCGTATTCTTCGATCGGGATGCCCGACGTATGCAACAGGCGTAGTATAGAGTAAGATTTGGCGATCCAGTAAGACCGTATGGTACATCCAGCGTTCAGGAACGTCTTCAGCTTCGTCTGATTGAACGCTCGCTCTCGGGGAGTCCGAGGACGGCACTGCTAGTTTCCTAGTGACATTCACAGCTGGTGCATCCAAAACTGTCTCTAATGGCCTTGTTTCAGCAGGTTAGTACCGCAACCATACTTCACAGCTTGTCCATGCCCTCATACAGTACACGAGTCCCTGCCATAGGCCAGTTGCGATGGGTTCGTTCAGCCCCCGATCACGGCAGGCATCGGCGACGCCGGGCTAAGGCAGAAGAATCTGAGGAGATAGTAGTCGGCAGGAAAGGATTGTATCACACGCCGATGCTCCAATTGGATGACTGTATCTCTCGATCCAACTACATCTAAGAAATCTTAAACCGATGGAAGTAAAGTCGGCGAAATGGTATATGGTATATTCCGTTGAAGATCATCTAAGTAGCTGTTTAGCGATAGTAAGACGTATGGCTCTAGGGCCAGTACCTTGATTTGCAATGTTCACCGGATGAGACAGTCTCAAGTTTGAGAAGTGAGATTGTCGAACGTGGTTTTGGTCAGCTCGGACAGAGCGATTCACCGTCACATGCTGTACTGTAGTAGTCTAGAAGAAGACTGTGAGATACATAATCAAGCTATGGCTAGAACACGATGCTCATGATTCGTTGCATTGACCGACGCAGGGACTGTTACTAACGGGGAAGTCGGAGTAGATCCAAGATTCAGGAGGGTGCGAAATTGGGGGTTGCAGCTCAAACAGGAACGCTCATTCCGGTGGAGGCCTAAAATGTCTTCCGCTGTCGGGTTGTCAGCCAAACGGTGGCCAATCACAAGCGTCGCCCCCCAGAGCTTCGGGTACCTCAAACTGTGGCTTCGCTGGGTTAATGCAAGAGTCAGCCACGTCTGACGGGAGAGCACCCTGATCCCCAATCGAACCATCAAGGGTCCCATTCCGCATCTGGGGTGGATCCACACGGTGGCGAATGCCCCCCAAGGACGAAGGGCCGAAATTAGGGAATTATTCGCATGTAACGTCGAGGCGGATACTACCCAAGGCTCTTTTAGCGCCATGGTCCCTACGGTTCGGAATATTGGATATAGGGAATAAGAAAAAGGAGCCTTGCGATAGGAGAGAACAAGACAAAAAGCAGTAGCGAGTTGCTAGAGCGATGATCAGTCGTGGCATGTCCCGGCACGTGGTTTCACCAAACGTGTGGATGACCCATTGTTCAAACTTCGAAGCAGTGTGCGTGGGGTACTAAGGGTCATGTGTACACTACGTGTTATTACCAGGTGCTCCCTACAGCTGAAGCCATCTAACAACGCCGATCGGTTCGTTGAGTGCGCCCAGCGGCGATAGTGAGCAGCTCTAGCGACGCAAGGCATGGGAATAACGATAGCTCGACACGTAGTTCGACGCTGGGGGTTTCCGGGAAAAGTCAAGATCCACTATCAAGAAGCGGCGTCTTTGCACGTTCTGCCTGTCCTTCTGGATCGAGGACTAGACGCAGCAGACTGCGCAATTGTGGAACTGTGGGAGAAAAGTCGGCAGCCAGTCGATGTTTGCCGATCCCTTGTCGAGATTGTGGCATCGAATCAAGTGTCGAATGGGAGGTGCAGCGGGCTTTTGGGCTGTGCAGGTGTGCTTGGAGGCTTCGAGAAGGCAGCCCTTGGTGTTCGCTTGCAGCTGCCCTCACTCAGCCCTGACTTCTGCCGTCATGTAAGCCGGGAGTGAGGATGAAAACACGGCAGTTTGGGGGCGCCTGACGACTTGCGTCAATTTGCAGCAAATGCCATAGTTTCCTGATGGACTTCTGCCACGCAATAAGAAAGGAGTATAGCCAGGGAATGGAGATGAGTCGATGAGCTAGGCCGGGATATTAATCCTACTCGAGTGGAGCGGTTGAGGAATGAGGAGTGCAGCGCCAACGGCAAGTGCCTGCTAACCAGAAGCACGGTAAACCTGGCCCCGGCGCCCTAGTCTCGCCTTAGTCGAGCGCCCCCAAGCCGCGGAACGCCATGGGCAGCGCCTTATAGCATCCTTCGCCGCCGTCATTTGGGACTGTTTGGATCACATTTGCGACTCTCGTCTTCACAGCCAAACCAACACAATGGCCATGTTTCGCGACTTCTCCTTCGACCCGGCGTCGTCTCCCGACTACTCACTCTACGAGGCCGAACGGGCGGCCATGAATGTGTCGCCCACGTCACCAGCCATGGACCCGCATTACTCGCCAAATCGGCCACCCACTCCACCATGCACCATGGGCGACCTCGCCGTGCAACTCAACCAGCAAAGCCTCCGCATCGACACCAACACCAACACCCGCTGCTATCCTCCTGGCCCCCTCACTCCAGCGAGCGACGATGACGAGTGCGCCCCGTCCACCAAGCAAGAACAGCAGGCGCGACCAACCTACTCGCGCGTCGCAGCTTCCGTCCTGAGGATGCAACGTCAACAAAACTCGCGCATGCAGTGCAGCCCATCGCACGCTCGCGATCTCTCCAAGCTGGTCAAGATGATCGAGGAGGAGCAGCAATGCACCGTCAACGAGCCGTCGTCGCGGACAAGCTCCACATCGTCAACATCTACATGCCCACTGGTCCCTTCAAAAGACGACGAGGGCGTCGACATGGACTACGACGCTCCCGCGCAAGCCGCTGAGGGACTCTTCGGCATGCCAGTATGGAGAGCAGGCGACCGTCGCGACAGCTGCGTTCGCGTCACCAGACCTGTGCGCATGCGAAAGCGGTCCAAGGGCAACGGCGTATGCAAGAGGACGTCATCATAATTTTTGTTTTAGTTGGATTTTGGTTACATGCATAGCGACGGCGTTTTTGGGGTGTCACTACGGGCGCATTATACCACTTGATCTTGCTGGAAGAGCTCCCTGCGGGTTGAGCCTGGCGTTATAGGGTGCGACAGGCTTAGCGCTGTTGGTACACCCGTATACTTTGTAATAACAAATCTGATCAAGATGCAAACTACTCTTCCGCCCTACCTTGTTACTGTGACTATCGTCCCGACCCAGCACACTGTTTCCCACGAGACGCATGTTCCGTGAACCTGAGCATTGGTAAATTGGTGACCCACTTGATTGTCGCTGATCCCAAGTAAATTCGTGCCGCATCCGTCCCACCTCCAAACACAACCACAACCACCATCATGTCTGCCCGCCGAGCGCTGGCACTGCGCTCCATCCACTTGCGCATAGTACCACGTCCTGCCAACCTATCCGAGAGTCGCGAGATATTCCGCGTGCTGCAGGGTTTTGGAGAAATCAGCACCTACCAGAGTCTACGGGTACGTCTTCCTCGCACACCATGGCTGCTTCTTCTGAGCGATTACTCATGTCAGTCTTAGTATGAGTACCAGAATCCTGCAGACAACGTCGCCTTCGCCATCTACCGCCACGAATCCTCCGCCCAGAGCGCTCTCGATGCCTCACCCATTCGCTTCGCCCTCGAAACATCTACGGCCACCGAAGACAACACCAGCACCCAATCCCACTACACCGGCGAAGAAGACCAAGAAGATGCGTCAACCGACCACATGCCCCAAAAAGCAGGCATCGACGAAATTCTCCGCCCCTCCCAGCTCCTAAACCGAACCTCTGCTGAAACCCACCGGTCCACTCCGTCAGCGCCACCCAAACCAATGCCCTTCGACCCACCACCCGTCTCCCCAAAACAAAAGAAATGGACAAAATGGTTTCAGGTCACTGTTGATCGTACGCGCGCGGTCCATCAAGATTTCATCGAGCGGCAGCCGTATTGGAAACAGTTCAGCCCTATGAGGAGCATGGCACAGGCTGATTTGGAGAAAAAGGTGCCGCATATTGGGTTGAGCGATATCAGCAAGAGGCCGCCGAATGCGTATCGGACACCTACCAGGGTGTTGAAGACTATGAACCAGTATGTCGAGACGGCCATGCCAACTTTGAGGGGGGTTGCTGAGGGGAGCGAGAACGAGAGGGCGTATCTGGAGAGGCAGGAGAGGAGGGTTTGAGATGGAAACAACAGACTACCGAGTCTACCACAATCGAACCTCGAGCGATAGCTATAACCCCGTCTCCCAACCATACGTATCGATCCAGACCACAAAGACTCGAGTCTTCCAGCATACCTCCACCGATCTGGAACAACAGTCGGATGCTATACATGCAGCACGGCTCTTCGACAAAACAACAATGTGGAAATGTGCGACTACATGAACCCAAACGCTCATAGAGCATACGTCTGCGCCTACACATTGCCTTCTCTGACATTACTCAGAAGACCTTCCGACCTGCCTAGATCGACTGGAGTTCCGAGCAGTCACTCAGCACTTTCCTCAGTCGTCTTGACAGCCTTTTGGGAGAACCACCCATGTCGATAAGTACCATGGAATCGCATCGGACAATTGCGAACACTTTCGCCCATGAATGCTTATATCATGAGCCGTAGCAGAGCATCCAGCCGCTCAGCATCTGGATAAGAGCTGCGCAAGTCCAACTCCCTGATCCGGTCCATCTCAAGGGCCTCTCGACCAGCCTGTTCCGCTCCTTATGGAATGGTTTCATGACCGCCTTCTTAAATTAAGCATGTTCTTTACAGGCCGTGTAAAGAAGGCATCCGCTATCCACACAGCTTCGTAGCTACTATAACTTCGTAGAGGCGGTTCAGAGTTAGCACGGACTAACAGATCCGATATGCAATATACGTACGTTGCGGACAAGGCGCATACAGTATGTAGGCGTCGAGCTTACATTTGCGGCACATGCGAGAAGGCGGATTCTGTGCCACCCGATGTTGAAGTTCAGAGAGTGCTCGTCGAACATGTTCGGGCTGGGACAACGATCTGAGATTTGAAGCGCGCTGATCGTCGAAGGCACCAAACGCTCAAGATATGAATGAAACACCTGATAGTTGTTTAGCTCAACGACGCCTGCTGCGCATTTTACATCCATCGGACCCAAACAACAACACATCTGACAATATTAGGCCTCTATGCTAGCTGTACCAAAGCCCATCTTTTCTCACAAGGATCACACAAATCCGTAGACCTCCAAATCATGCATGCTCGGGTGGTTGTTTCCAGTTGCCTGATTCGTCATATCCATAAAAATGCCATTTATCCTCCCAAGGTCCAGCGTCAATCCCAGCAGCTGTGGACATATCTCTTCAATAGCCATCGCCATCTTCTGAAACGCGCGACCATGGTCAACAAGATTACTGTACGAAGTCTTGCACATCCGACAACATAGGCTCTTAAGCACAGCATGGATCAGCTCGTGCATTAATGTAGAGAGACGTTGCAGCGCCAGTGACTTGGTTCGGTTGAGAGACCGTAAGGTGACTTCTGTTTGTTGCGTGGGATGCATCGTGATGCGTTCAAAGACCAGATCATCGCGAAGTATTGTCTGAGTATATCCTAGCCAACCCCTCTCCTCACAGACGTCGAAATCCCAGAAAAATTCGATTTTAATTTTCGCTCCGAGAAAGAAGATGGATAACAATTGCGTGCATAGTCTTCTCATCTTGCCGAAAGGAAACGTGACTCTCGCATCAGGAGAGCCGAGTTCCTTGAGAAGATCCTCCATATTCTCCCGCATGTCTCTTAGAGCTACTTGCTGCTCGGAATTCATTTGATTGTATGGCCTACTAAAAAATGTGGTTGCGCTGTCGACAAGATGGAGCGCCTCGTATGGCCTATTCACGGAATCGGCGATGATTTCGGGCTGTTCATTTGGCAGAATAGGTATCTGGTCCCGACGATGTTCGATGGCAGCGCAAGAGTATGGATAGTTGAAGTAAGAGTCTTGTGAGCACTTGTTACTGTCACAGGTACATGGGCCGCAGAACAAATGGTTTAATGACTTTTTGTAGAAGAAGTCTTTCTGGGGATCCGTCATTAGGCCTTCTATTGAAGGCAACCGGCCTGAAGCTACAGCTGTTAGATCGGCAGTGCCGGACAAAGTGGGTGTTGAGAAGTCATTCGGAGAAGCAACGCCATTCTGATCTACGCTCATGGTGGAGATTTTAGTGGCCGATAAGGTAGTAAAGAGTAAGCTTTTTTTGTCCCTTATCATCAAAGCATTTTTTGTCATTTCCTTTCGCTTCAGTCATCCTACCCCTGCTGCTGAGAGGCGATTGATTGCATGTGACTCTGCCTATAAAGCTCATGGGATTGAATCTCCAGAACTAGGGGTTATTTGCTCCATATAGTAGGATACCTAACCTTATATCGGTTACTATGCTTGTTCTTACTAAGCTTTCCACGAAGAAGATGCGGCTTGGTTGGACGAACATGGGAGAGCATAGTAAGGGATCGCAAGGTCTGTGAAGTGGTTCGCCGTTCACAGATTTCATCTTTTGCTTAATTTGTGTCGTGTTGAGGCCATTATTCATGATTGAGAGGGTATGTAGATCTAGCCCACTGGAAAGAGACAAAAGAAGCTGTCAGCTTAGATGGCGATGAGATGCATAAGGAAGCCGCGTTGATCCGAAATGCTGCGAGTACTGTTGGCCACGTTTTCACTATTACTGGACGTGATCCAGTTATGTCGAACTTACTGTATTACCTCCACCAGGTACTGTGAAGTATCGTACCATGATTTGTGACATTTTGAGGAACCGAGACTGACAGGTTTGTGTATTCATGGCTGCGAACGGCTTTCCCAGCCAGAAGTGGAGGAATTCGCAGTCCCAAATTTACCTAATGAAACAGCGCCCGCACGAAACTCGTCCAAACCAGTGAGTGCAGCATTGTCTCATGAATCTAGGCTGATTTCACATGCCTAAAACGCATTGCAATGTTTCATGTCATACAAGACTTCTATGGCCGAGCAATATAAAGAGTAGCCACGCAAGAGTGTTGCGAGTAGCGAGAAAACCACAACCAGTGATTCTGGTAGCCTTTCTAAACAGGAACATAGACAACCAAAATGTGCCGAAAAGTCCCTCATATGTACAAGCTTGTGGATCCACAGAATCTCGAACCTGCTCCTAGCACACCGGAGGAATTCATTGATATGATTCGAGATCATCACAAGAGAAATCCTGGGGCACGATTTGGCAGTAAGAAACAGGGAATATGTACAAACTCATGTAACAACATCATCAAGCCACAATATCGAGCGCGCATATCCTTACGTACGGCCGGTCACCATGCTTTTCGACTTTGTGACGAGGTCAAGCGTAGGATGGAACTGGGCTTTGATGATTTCAGCTCCGAACAATGGCAAGCCCACAATCTGTTCAAATCACTGGTTGAGGATAAATCAGACAAAGCCCTGTTGAAGAGGCTAGCAAAGACAGATGGAAGACAAGTCTCACAAGATGAGATGAAGCTGCTGATCAAGACCTTCTCAATGATTTTCTTCCCAACTACGCCGTCGGACGTTCAGATGGAACTGGACTTCCAGTGGGAGGATTGGAGAAACACGCCAGGTGAAATCGGCTTATACTGCACCAATGGTACCGACATGCCTTGGATCAGCATGTGTGCTTTTAACGTTGACAAGAAAGTACCGAGCTACGGTCATCTGAATGGATTAGCTATGGACCGTCTGTCCACAATCCTTCACGAGATTGTGCATGCATATTTGGATCGTTACGCCTGCCGTTGTATTGGGGTGTTCGGATCGTTTGAAGAGAGTGTTAATCAACTAAGTGGACATGCATGGGCGTGGCAACGGATAACAAGTTCTGTGGAACGCGCTGCCCCTGACCTCACTGGTCTCCCTATAAGTCTAGAACGGTTTAGAATTATCCAGGGCTGTTGGGACAAATTCAGATATTGGCCGACTCA